GGCGACCCCATGGCGCCTCTTACTATTCCTACTTCATACTCGACTTACAGTAAGTTTCTTTCCCGATTTGATTTTACTTACATATCCACTCATGTTTTTAATATACATCGTTTGCAGGTTCTCTGCCGAGGTGTGAAATATCAGAGGAGGAGTGGGATATCATTGGCCAGCTTTACCAGCTACCTCCAAAGGAGAGGAGCCACAAAGAAATTATCGATAAGAACACCCACTTCGTCGCTCACGGACTGATGTCGAGCCAAGGTGAATGTTTCGCTTCAGCTCTCCATTTGTTTGTTTTCATCACAAGTGCTCACCCATTTGCCCCTTTTTTCCTTTTGGAAGAGATTTCGAGAAGAAGAAGGCGCCGAGGCCTGACTTCGTGATAATCCACCGGAGTGTGGTGGAAGCGAAGATGTTAAGGACAAGCTCGGCTGCATATAAGAAGCAGTCAGAGCGCTTTCTGTCTCTGAGCAAGGCCCCTCTACCCCCTGAAAATGAGGCGGATGAAGGAGTTCCTCTGGTGAAGAAGAGGAAGGTCGACCCAGCAGGGGCATCTATTTCAGCCCCTCAGGAGGAGGCTCCTCCTCAGGCTCGTTCCGGGGTGACAGTGGCGGCCCCTTCAACTGTTCCTCAGGCCATAGTGCCTATAACTGCCTACTTCGCTGAAGGCCCGGTTAAAATGAAGCAGAAGCGACCCGCCAATGCCTCGGCTAATGGCAAAGCCACTGACTTCTTGGGGAGCAAGGACGATGACCTTTCGGAGGCTGTGCTGGAGATGCTCCCTCCAGAGACCACTTCGGCGGTGAGGCTCCACAGCAAGTACTGGACTGACGATTGGGCCAACCATGCCTCTTCGTGCGGAGTGGAGGACCTAATGGCTGCCAACAACGCCTACGTGGCTAGGGCCCTGAGTATGGGAGCCGCGGCAGAAGATCTGGTTAAAGCCCTCCGCAAAAGGAATGACGAGCTGGAAGAGAGGCTCAAAGCCTCAGAAACTTGGGAGGCCGAGGTGGCCAAGGCCAGGAAAGAAGTTGAGGAGGTGAAGGAGAAGTGGATAACTACTGCCACAAAGCTGGACGCGGCTGAGATCCAAGTCAATCAGTACAAGAACGAGCTCCACGAGTCCGTTTCTCAAGCGGCGACTTTAACAAAAAGGATCGACGTCGCCAACGAACACCAGCGGATGGCCTCGGATGCTCTGGCGGAGGCGAACAAGGAGAGGGGCTAGTTGAAGAAACTCACTGAGGCCCAGGCCGGAAAGATAGCCTCTTTGGAGGCCGAAGTGAAGGCAGTCGGCGAAGCGGTGGTCCAAGATTATAAGGACAATTTTGATAAGACGTTGGAGTATGATGACTTCGCCAATTACTGGGCCTCCTGGGCTGCCCAGGAAATGATTTCTCGCCTAAGGGAGAGGCACGCAAACCTGGACATCGGGTTCCTCGAAGAGGAGTTTGGTGGACCTACCAGGGGTCGCCCAGTAGTAGAAGAGGAGGCTTTTCATGACGAGGCGGAAACTCCACAAGAGGAAGGAGTCGGGGCGATAATCAACGTAGATTAGGCCTTGCGATTCTTTTCTGTTTATGTAATGGCTTCGGCCTGCATTTGATAATAAGATATAATCCTTTCAAGTGTTGTTGCCTCTTTGCTTCTGTTGTACAAACATTATTGTATCGAACTTACTCAAACCACTTAACAAAATGAACTGGGAGTGGCCAATGAACCAAGTAATAACGCATCGGACTTACTCAACCACTTAATGGAATGGAAGATGCCAATGAACCAAGTAATAACGCATCGGACTT